AAGTGGGTGAACAATATCAACAAAAGAGAAGCATCTGGTAGACAAAATCATTGAGAAAAACACCAAGCAGGTACTTTTTTTAAATTAGACATATTTTTTTAAATATATTTCCATACTTACATACAGAACATGATTAAACATTTTGATTATGTGTAACTAAACTAATGTCTCAATTGAATTTTGCATGATTTAATGACCGAGGGTGATGCCAACAAAGTCCAAAAGGATATGACTTCACAACAAATTGACAGGTAGATAAAGGTAAATCTAAAAGGTTTATATGTTTCTTTCAAAATTTGTCAATGCCTAATTGTTTTGTCAATGCAACTACATATCATATAGAACATGAGTAGGGTGCTGAACATAAAATACACATATATCATATTATAAAGTAATAAAAAAAACCAGAAAATAACTCTTAAGTTAGAAGGATTACTTGGACTGGAAATTTCATTATCGATCATCATGGTTTGTGTTATTGGCCGACCTCTGTCACCTCTATTAGTAGGTCCACGATTATCTGTGTTATTGTTCTCCTGTTCATGAATGTTGCTGACGTGATTGCTTGATGTTTGCTTTCTTTTGGCTAGTTTCCCTTTCATTCCGTCGATTGATTGTCACCTCTTGTTCTTTGGCGATAGTTGAAATCCAAATCCTATATTGAACAGTTTTGAAAAAGAACTAAATAAAGAGAAAATGACGATATATGATTCTGCATTAGGAGAAGAATATATAGAGTTCAATAGATAATACAGATTCTGTTAGATATGGATGAGGTTGAAAGAGTTTGAAATAAAGAAAATACTGATTTACATTGACTTATTAAACTAAGATATACGCACATGCATCTATTTAGAAGTAAAAACTAAAATATTCAATCCACACGTTATTATATTAGTTAAGAGAATATTTATAAAATCTATTTACTTTTTTAATCTATTTCCAAAAGGTAATATAAATATGATCAATATCTATACTTATAATTAAGTTATTAAGTTATAATAGAAAACACTGATTTACATAGACTTATTAAAAATAAGATATTCGCAGATGCATCTATTTGGAAATAAAATATAAAATATTCAATGCACACGATATTACATTAGTTAATAGAATATTTATAAAATCTGTTTTTTTTTTTAATCTATATCGAAAAGGTGATATAAATATGATCAATCTATACTTATAATTAAGTTTTAATAATATTAAAGAATGGTTAGTCCATAGATGTAAGTAATTTGATTTATATATTGTTATGTTATTCTTGCTTTATAAGTGGACTGCTTATTAAAGAATAGTTAGTACATAGGTGACTGATTGCTTTTTATATTTTTATATTATACTTGCTTTATAAGTTAATAGATGTGAATGTTTTATATTTTTTTATATGGATGCATGAATGGATGTGCATAGTTGTAGTTGTTGCATATTCTGTTATGTAAGTGGACTGTTATTACTTATGTAAAAATGGTGCTGGTAGTTTAGAGTAGTTTAGAAGTAATATATGGAGAACGACTTAATTAAAAAACATAAAAGGTAGATGAGTAATTAAGTAAATAATCATAAAATGTTTTTATTTAGTCTAGCTGTCGCAATAACAATAGAAAAACAAAGCCTACGTGCTGACGCAGGTAAAATAAACTAATAAAAGCTTGGTAATAAACCAAGAAATATAACATAGTGATTAAAATAGACCAATAAACTTGAAGCTTGCTAATAAACTTGAAGCTGCCTACGTCCTTTCACTCAGATGAATCATGTGCATTTTCCGCTGGCATAAGAGAACCATCTTCATAGACCTTTGCCTTGCCTTTATCATGCGTTGTAGACATTAGCATCTTAGGATCTTCGGATTCGAACATATCGCTCAAGTTGTGCTTTGCTGATGAATCGCCCACCTTTTCCATTTCCTTTGCAATTTTGAGAGGTGTAGAAACCTCATCTTCTTCATCAATATCATCCTACAAAACACCCGCAATTATTAATAATACTATTTCAAAATTACAATCTACAAAAAATGATATAGATTCTATACCACATAATAGCTGCTATCATCTCCTCGAAGCATGGTAAAAAAGTCGGACACCTACGATATTTAACAAAAAATGTTAGCCCCATGTTGAAAGTAAATTAAAAAAAATAGAGAATTCAATTTATAACCTCTGGTGCAACTATGAGCTGGCTGTACTTGGAAACAACATCTTTGTCATTTACTACCCTACAAACAGTAAATGACAATGTGTCCGAGTAGCGTTGCTGCTGAATACGAACTTTAAACAGAACAGCCTGCCCGGTTAAACTCTTTATTTCTTCGGGCAACTTATAAGTTGCTGCATTCTATAAGAAGAAAAAAAATTGAAACTTTTAGTTAACGACCCCAAATAAATTTGTTGAACCATTACGAACTATAGAATAACAACCTTGCGCTTGAATTCAGATCTTAAAGAATGACATGTTTTTCCAATGAGGATCTCAGACTCTTTGTCCCAACAGACAATATCTGCATTAGCTGTTGAATCCGAGATGCTCAAGTTCATCTTGTATCTATTCAGCAGTTAATAGTTAGAAAAAAAAACAATCAAACTTAATGCGTATTTTGAAAATTATAAAAATACCTGAACTTGCCCACTTCTTTTGAGCATTTGCTACACTTGAAACCTATATCCGAATTCAACATTTTGCTGCTGCAACTGCGGCAAGCAAAATACCACCAATCGCCCACAACAGAGTCAATCGAAGCACATATCCATATGCTTTTATCCTGAAGGGAAAAAATAGTTGTAATTTTGAAGCATAATTATTATCGAATTAAAAATTAGAAGTGTTAATTAAAATTCGAAAATAAAATATATATACCTCTTTATTTTTGAACAAAGATTCCACCGAAGAAACTGGAATATCACCAGATTGCAATTCCTCCAATTCAGTCTTAATAATAGTTTTCGACTTTGAATTGTATTTTGTCCTATTCAAATTGCTTGCAGTGTACCTAAGAATGAAAATTTATTTTTAACATTTATTTATATGATATAAATTAAGAAATAAAATTAAAAAAATTGATAAAGGTGTAATTTAATTTAACCTTCTCCAAAAGTCATGGATCTCCTCCACTGAATCGTGTGCAATTAGCTTAGTCACGTTTAAAGAAGTAGTAACTTATACTTTTTCTACAAAAGCAGTATAAGATGTTAGATGGGAGCTCGTAGGTATTGAAAGTGAAAAAAAAAAAATTATTGAAGATACTTACTAAGGTATTCTTTTTCACGTGCTTGCTGCATGATGAGAACCCATGGTACTCCAGTATGTTCATAGTGGCTCTCAAAAGCCAACAGTTTGTCAACATAGTCGCCCCATACTGTGCAGTTTATGAAATTTTCACTACGTTTAATAAACAAAAAATTTAGTAAGCGAGATTTCAAAAATGTCTATACATTTCAATTTTATATAATTAATTTTAGTTGTGTAGACTTACTTCAAGACCATGAGGATAAATGCCACCATTTGTGTATCACCAGATTTGACCTGCTTGTCTTGTACACTTTGGACATCAATAACTAATCCAATGACATCTACGAAAAAAATAAAATGGTTGTTACTCTATATATATAAATTTATAAATAATCTGTAAATCAAATACGTAAAATAATATTCCCAAAAGTATAAAGTAAAAATACCAAATAGGATTGACTCGTCTATTTGCATAGTTGCAAAGTCTCTGAATGAAAATCGGAACATAGGAAAAGACAAAGTGTCTTTGCATTTCATAAATAAGTTCCCCCATGTAGGATTATCTTAAACTCGCCATCCGTAGATCTATACATACCCAGGTTGCTATCAACTTGGTAGTTTCGTATAAGAATGACCATGCCCTCTTCAATGGACTTCTCTTTGAAACCCGGTAAGTAAACTGCTCTTAGAAATGCTGTAATGCGTTTTCCCTTCACAATTAAATCGAAAAGGAAAATTTAAAAGTAATCTATATGATATGTAAATAACAAATAACAAATACAGAAAAATGAAATCGATTAGGAATCCTTACTGTTCTATCATGCAAAATAAGCTCGAGATGCGACTTGAATGTGCTGCCCTTATCTTGATAAAACATCCTGACAATGTGAACTTTAAGCATTGGTCTTTTGCTCCTGTTAATTTCTTCTATTAACCCAAATGCTTGATCCATTGGAGAGCGTGTTTTTTTTTTGTTCTAAAATATGCGATTGTTATATGGTGAATGCGTGATGGTGGTAATGAGAATATGTATATATATATCGTTGTTGATGAAAGTATTCTTGTTATGGAATTCCTTTTAATCTATAAGAATTTTTTTAACTGTGGACTTTTGAAAACAAAATCTGCAAAATATGCGTAACCTTTGAAAATAAGTTGGGAATTTGTTGTGTGTGGACTTTTGAAATCAAAATCTGCCAACAAATATCGATCATTCACACGTTTTCAATGTTAATATGGTGTATCAAATATCTTATCCTTCTTAACACCTTGTATTTCGAAATTTTGTTTCTTTAATTTATCTATAACCAAATATTCTCTCCTTATCATGTTCTTATAAGGTGGTAACCAAAAAAAAAAATAATGGGATAAGGACTCTCTTAGAAGGCGTGTACAATGGGAAGATTTCATGATAAATAATTTGTATAATTAATTAATTAATTCTCTCCTTATCGTGTCCTTATAAGGTGGTTACCAATAAAAATAATGGGATAAGGACTCTCTTAGAAGGCGTGTGCAATGGGAAGATTTCATTTCATGATAAATAATTTGTATAATTAATTAGTTACTAAACCGTGTGAAAAGGACATAACATAGGCGTGTAAAAAGGACATTGAAGTTGCTTTTTTTGGAAAGTAATTAATGCAAAGTGGACGTTGACTACATAATCACCTACTAAATTTGATAAATGTTAAATCTTATAATATAAGTATAGATATATAGATATAGATATAGACTAGGGTATGCAAATATGATCAATTATATATTTATTGTGAAGCTTAAAAAAAATACGAAGCTATATGCTATGTGAAATCAAATAAATTAAATAATGGATACTTAATTACATATAATCCTGCTCTTGTGATCTGTATTGCGTACAGATTTCTGGAGCTGGTGAGGGAAGAGAGAGAGATTGTTGACTCATAAATTCTCTTCAATTTTCTCTCTTGCTGTTCACGCTTTAACATTACTCAATCGCACCATAAACCTCGTGACTTTGCCTCAAGAGGAGAGTATTGAAACAGCATTTATTTCTAGGAATTTCACCGAACCGAGGTTCCTCAGCTGGAGTTTCGCATGGTGACGAGATCAATAAGTAAAGCTAAAAGCTGCAAGCGCATGTCAAGGAGTTATTTTCAATTTGCAGCTAGGCTCGTTTCTGGTAATAGCTTCTTTGAATTCAAGTAGACTTCAAATTTGGTGTGTGTGTATTTTCTCAGTTGTTTGCGTTCAATTTTTGGTTTTTTCTTTGGAGTTTTTTACTATGCGTTTCCCTTTTTTTGTTTTTAGTAATTAACTTTAGTTTGATGTTACTTTGGATTTCCGTCACAGTTTTGTTGGGGCTATGTATTACCTAATTGAGTAGCTTTGATTGCACTTCTGCTGGGATCTGCTTATGGGTGTAAATTATGTTAATTAGAATGATAAGCTTCTCCGCTAATTGATTTGTGGGATTTTATTGTAGCTTTCTTTCTGCTGTTATCTTAAGATTGTGTAATTTTCAGAGGTGAATCTGATTTCTGCCACTCAGTTGGACAAATCAAGATTCTCTCTTATGTATTTTTTTAAGCTCAATGTCTATTCTCTGTTTTCTTGTTTCCATATTTATTGATGGTAGCTATCGGAACTTACTTTAATCTTGAAACATCCATTTCACTTCAATTATTCTTAGGTACACGGAGTGTAAATTTTGATCTGACTGAGTTCCTTTACTCACTTGGTTTGATCTTCAGTTTCCCAATTGCGTTTTAATGGCGAGAACTAGTGTGTTCCAGGATTTAATTAAACAAGATGGACCACTGTGAATTAGTAATGACTTTAGTTTGGATCACCAGGTGTTGCATGTTTCTAGATGCACCATTCTCCGGAAGATAGAAAACGGCGTCAGAGAATGAAGGTTAAAAACAAATATCAGAAACAAACTGCTCTAATTTTTCATGCAGGGAGCAAATGCTCGATTTCTGTCGTGATCTGGAGCCTCGTTGGGTTCCTTGTTATGCTTCATTTATACACCTTAATCCCACACATAAGTACACACACCAAAGAGATTGACATCACCACGAGCCATGACCCTGTATTGCGTGAGCTGGAGGAGATTGAGGAGGAAAGAATACACATGCCTCCCCCAAGAAAACGATCTCCGCGTGCCGTGAAGAGAAAACCCAAGCGGCCAAATACCTTAATCGATGAATTTCTTGACGAGTCTTCTCCAATGAGGCACGTGTTCTTTCCCAGTATGAAAACTGCAGTAGATCCCAGGAAGAATGCTGACAATGGTAGTTACTACTATTATCCGGGGAGGATATGGTTAGACACTGATGGGAATCCCATTCAGGCGCATGGTGGTGGTATTTTATATGATCAGAAGTCGAGCACTTACTATTGGTATGGGGAATATAAGGAAGGGCCCACTTATCATGCTCACAAGAAAGGAGCAGCACGGGTAAATTCTGATTCTTCATGACAAGTATTTTAGTAATCTCATTCTTCACGAAGCATCTTCAAGTTTTTGTGTTTGCAAATGGACATGGTGCATTTTGGCAATGATTATTATGTCATCAATTTTTCTTCTGAAATGCCAGTTGTACTTTGTTTTATTTGGCTTGATACTATATGCCCGTGGTTAAATTGTCCTGCATTTGTTGCCATCTGTCTATTTAATTGACTTTCTAACTTGTGGACTCATACCTGCCTGAAATTGTTGAAGAACAAACAAGTAGAGAAGTAGTGGTCTGTCATACTTAAATCATTGTGTTGTTCAACTTAATAGATTCCCTTCTTTCACAATATTGCAAGTCAAACTTTCACCAAAATCTAATGCCGTATTGGAAGTTACTTTTTCTTAGTACCTCTTTAGTAGTCAGAGCAGAATGTGTTTAGAGGACCCAACATTTATGAATTTCTTTCGTTGCTATTGGTTGGCCCTTCATTGTCAGCAGTGTTTGCTGTGTTTGGACTTCCAAAATCGGATGTTCAGAAAATGGTTGATCTATAAGATAGGTGCCCAATTTGACGTACAGGAAAAAAAAAAAAAATGCACTGGTCTTTTGGTGTTTCTGAAGATCTTTTGGCAGGTTAATACAAATTAGTATTTGCTATGTTTGGCCGTCCAAAATAATATGTGCGGAAAATGGATGACCTATAAAATAGATAGCCAGTTTGAGGTATAGATAAAAATTCATTGGCCTTTGGTGTTACCGAAGATCTTTTGGCAGGCGAAAACAATTTAGAATGCCTAGTAAGACTAGATTTAGGTTAAAAAAGACATATCTTCTCATATGATTTTTCTTTTCCAGGTAACCCGTTGTACTGTCCATAACCTTAGGGTACTTGTGAGGAACAGAAATGTTTTGAGTCCACTTCTTTAATACCGAGTATATTCTTGAATAAAATACAGATTTTTGGGGCCGAGAAGGGATACATGAAGTTGGTGATCTTCTTGCAGTTTATTCTCGGAGCTAGAATTAGGTGTACATTAAGTTGATTGCCCATTACCCGTGTTTAAAGATAGCAATGGAAAAAATGTAATTCCACCCAAAACTATGCTTTCTCCTCCCAACGTAAACGGCGTCCTTTAATATAACCAAATGCTATTTACTTGAAGCCCAATGCATTTGTCAACAATTTCCTCAATAAGTTGCCCAACTCTGAAACTACAACCTTAGATATGAAGATTTCATGAATAGGAAGCAAACACTGATTAGTACCAAAAGGGCATCTGCAGAACACTCTCTTTTCCTGTTAGTAACAAATACCCTGAAACCTGAAACTGTTAGTGCCCATGATTTGTGGATATGGGATCCATCCAACCTTCAGTTCAGTAAAATGTAAAATTACATTTTTCCCTTTAAAACCAAGTGTTTTATACATTTTTGTCACCTAAAACCTAATTCTCCCGTCCAGGTCGACATCATCGGCGTGGGCTGCTACTCCTCGAAAGACCTTTGGTCGTGGAAAAACGAGGGCATCGTCCTCCCCTCCGAGACCCACAACGCCAGCCACGACCTCCACCCGTCCAACGTCCTCGAGCGCCCCAAGGTCATCTACAACGACCGAACCCACAAATACGTCATGTGGATGCACGTCGACGACGCCAACTACACCCGGGCCCACGCGGGCCTGGCAGTCGCCGACCGGCCCACGGGCCCCTTCCGCTACCTCGGCAGCCTTCGTCCCCACGGCTGCGACAGCCGGGACATGACTCTGTTCAAGGACGACGACGATGATGGCTCCGCCTACATCATCTACTCCTCCCTCAACAACAGCGAGCTCCACGTGGGCCGCCTGACGGACGATTACCTGGGCCTTGCCGGGCCCGTTAGCAGGATCCTTGTGGACCAACACAGGGAGGCCCCTGCAGTGTTCAAGCATAAGGGGACTTATTACATGATCACGTCTGGGTGTACGGGTTGGGCCCCGAATGCGGCCCTGGCCCATGCGGCGGAGTCGATGATGGGCCTGTGGCAGACGTTGGGGAGCCCGTGTGTGGGAGGGAATGAGGTGTACAGGGGGACGACGTTCTTTGCGCAGGGGACGAATGTGGTGCCTGTGCCGGGGGTGAGGGGATTGTTTGTGTTCATGGCGGACAGGTGGAACCCGGCGGACTTGAGGGACTCGAGGTACGTGTGGCTGCCGCTGACGGTGGGTGGGCCCACGGACAGGCCTCTGGACTATGGGTTCGGGTTCCCGGTGTGGTCGAGGGTGTCTGTGTACTGGCATAGGAGGTGGAGGCTTCCTGGCAGAGGGTGAGTTTTTGGGGAACTTAATGTTAAGTCTTNATTATTTTTCGTTATTATATTTTTACCCTTATTATACAGTATTATAAATATAAATTTGTAATGTGAGTTTTTGGTTGATGGAAGTGGTAGTTAATGAGTCACTTGCACAGTTGCAGTGATTACTCTTTAATATTGAGATTAGAAAAAAACACAATAATGGCTGTTGTGAAAGTAAAAGATAGTTTTATATTATTATCTATTTTTTTATTCCATATCTTAACAATATTGATTTTTATAAATTAAATGCTATATTTAAAGTAACTGAGTTGTAGCTTTCTTTTTCAGTAAGAGAAAATGATCAATTAAATATTAATTTAATTGAAAATGACTACAGTCGCAATTATGAAATTATTATTTTTAACCGTATATTATCTACATTACACTAATTTAACACGTGTATCTAAACACTGACTGAATGATACTGTGACTAGAGCGTAGTCATTCTTAATTTAATAAACATGTCATCGAGAGAATGAAATAAACTTGGTTAAATCTAACTTTGTATGTTGTGTCCAATACAAAATATTTTATGAGATATTCTTGGAGTAAACAATTCAAATTTATTTGTGCAGCATTTTTTTATTTTTAATTAATTATAATTACAAATTTTACATTAAAAATATGACGACTTAGGGTGGAGGTTGGATATAGATTAAACCAGTTATGATCCAACTTGGTGAGTTAAAATGAGTTATTTTGAATAAAGTAGATTTAAAATTAAATAATATTTAAAATATAATGTAAAAGTACGATAGAATATAAGAAGTGGTGGATAGTTAAAATTATTTGAATGAATGAATAAAGAATTAAATTTAATGTGATTTGTGAGAATAATTGAGTAATATTATTAATTATATTTATAAAAAGTAGGAGTGTTGAGTTGATTTGGATTTTAAATTAAGTGATTGTAATGACTCAACTGGTTATAAACGGTTGAGATGGATCATAAGTCATATTCAATTACGCCCTTAGTTCTTCCAATTTTTTACAGAAGCACTCCTCATTTTAGAATAATATATAGAATCTACTAATATAAAAAAATGATACAGATTTACTTGAAATAACATGTAAATTTCCGCTTAAAAATTTAAAATTTACTATTAGTAAATATTTTTGAAAATTTCGTTCATCCCGCTCTTACACACGCTTTTTGAATTTTAAAAAAAGTCAATGTATAAATTCGGGTGGATATCTATTTTAAGTTTATAAAATTGTTGTGTCCATAATTATCTAACTAATCATTATTCAAAAGATACTTAAAGATTTTTTTCTATCTTTTTTCTTTTTAACTTCCCTAAATTTCCGCCTTTTCTTTTTGCATTTCAACTCTATTTTTTTCATACTTTTTATTTTCTCTTTATTGAGTTGAGTTAATCAATCTCATAGTCAAAGGTTTTCTTGAAAGTTGATTAAGTCAAATCTTTCTTTAGTATTTTACCTTTTCTTTCCTAACTGATTGTTCACTATGATAAGGTATAAAACAAAATGATTGATATCTTTAACAATAAAGTAGAAACTTTTTCCCCTCAGAGCATCTCTAATGCATTCTTTTGAAAGGGTAAAAAGTTATCCACCTAATCTATATAGAAAGTGTGTGAATAATATATCATCCAATGCATTAGATTATGGGTCCTTTCATGCTTATGTGTAAAAAATTAATGTTAACATTGTCAAGCTCACTTTCTAATTTCTCACATTCTTTCTAACATGATGACTCATCATTTTGATAATTATTTGACACAAATTTTGAGCTTTTCATAAACTTGGAAAAATCTCACCCTTACATTTATCCAATAAAACATTTGAGAATTTATTTGAATACAGTATAATTATTTGATGAGTTACAACTAAAATTTAAAAAATTTATCAATAATAATGTCCTTAAAAGTAAAATATTATGTTCATGATATTTGTTTGTTGAGTTATTGCAATTTTAATATTTTGTTGTTTTATTTTGAACCAATTAAAAAAATATTTATTGTATGGTTATACATATTGTAACTGAGAAATTATTGAATTAATAATAATTTTATAAATTTGATGATATAAATAAATATTAACTGAATCAACAAAAAATAACATCATGCATATAATTATTGGAATTTGTGGTTTTTTTTTCTAATATACTCTTTGATTTATTAATAAATGAATAAATCCACATATACAAATTGTATGGTTGTTGAATGGATGCATTGGAGGCAACAATTCAAATGAAAGTCCTATTCTTTTAACATTCAGTTCATGTAGATTAAACATTAATCCATTGATTCACATGTGTTCAAATTTAATTAATGTTGAAAGTTGAGCATTGGAGATGCTCTCATATGGCCGATCAAATAAAGTTATAAAGTTCCATATATCCATTTAAACTATTGTTAGTATATTTTTTAAACCATCAAAATATATAAAATAAAATACTTATATTTATTTATGTCATATTGTGAAAAAATGGTGGAAATATTTAAAATTCAAAACTTGATATTTGGTAGAAAAAAAATTTCAATTTTGTTTATTTTCAATGATAAGTATTTTAGATATAGTGATTGTTAGGATTTTATAAATTTATGAAAATATTTCTTAAAACGTATTTTTTTTTTTAAATATTGATACTAAAATGTATCAGACAAAAAATAGGAAAAGGATACTGATTAAGTTATTTAAAATTTGATGATAATCGTAGATCCAATTCAACATCAAATTATAAAAAAAAATAAAAAAAAATAAGAGATAATTGAAACTCCCTATGAATAAGTAGTGAAATGCGGACATTCCACATGATTTAATATAAACTAGTATTTGACCATGCGCATTTGCACATATATAAATAAAATATTATAAATTAATTATATACATATAATATTAAAGTTATAAGTTAGATAATGATATTGAATTTTAAACATAGAATATTATAAGTTATATTTATGCATATAATATTAAAATTTTAAATACATTGCAGGACAATTCTGGAGGAGGGTTTTATTTTATGGGATTTGATTTTTCAAAATATTTGATGTATCTTTGTAATATCCGAAAAAATATTTTTTTATTATTGTATGACCGCAATAGGAAATAGAGATATTTGTAGTCGTTGTTAATTAGTTGTGAAATATGTATTTATATAATACCAAAATATATCTCTATCTCTATCAAAATAAAAACAAAAATATTTTGTATTTCATGACATAAAATAACGTTACAGAAATAGACATCATCTAAAATGGGACATGTCAAAATAAATCGTGTAACTGAAACTTACATATTTTTATTAATTTGCGAACATATTTTTATTAAATGAACACATATTTTTATTAAATAATTTGCTATTATTATTAATTGCTGGCTGAATAAAATTTATTGAAGTTTGCCAGCAATTACATATATAGATGTGTTTGTTTTAAGGATATGTGCAAATAGTTCACATTTTAATTTATTTACCAAAAATAATAAATAAATAAAAATCGCATCCTCAATACAATTCTATATTATATAACATTCACGTATTTTAAAGAAATGCTAGAAATTATTTATATATATTAAAATCCCAGCTCAAAATATTCATTTCATTGTATTTTTTAATTTTAAAAGTTGTATATCTATCTATCTATCTATTAATATATAAAGAGACACCACTATTCACCTAAAGTAGTATCAAAAGATTCATTAAAATCAAGCCTAAAATTTCAAAATTACTAAACATATTTTTTTTAAAGAAAAATTGGAATATCCCGCCTAAATGAGTGTTGAAAATTTAAAGAAAAAAATTAAACCCAAACATTTGAAGGAAAAATCAGACACTGATTTTCTTGGTACATTCTATCTCATATTAACTTTCATATAATCATATTGCTAACAAACTCTTCATCATCTCTTAGGAAAAACTAAACATTATTCCACGTCTTCTCCTTTTCCTTTTCTCCCTTCAAATATATATATTCATCGCTGGCTACGAGATTTCCATCGCTGGCTACCCATAGTCCGTTAAGCGGACGTCCATCGGCTAGGCTGCGGAACCGCAGACTATGCATGTGGGGCAGACTGAGGCTAGGTTGAGGTCATGGTCTGTGCGCTGGTCGGGCTACAACTAGGGCTGACGGAGGTAAGTGAGCAGACAATACCGGACTAATGTAGCGCTGGACGTTGGCGGTTGAAGGTTGGCTGTTTTCTATCGTGCACTAGGAAGTCTAGGCGGCTGTACGAAGTCGCGAGTGGCTGATGATGGTTTGACTTGTCAGGTTTTGGCAGAAAATCAGCAACTGAAGGACGACCATACTGGCAGGTCGACAGAGCTCGAAGATTTGAAGTCGTAGGGGCTGGTGCTGGTTGTTCTCGGCTACTGGGCGAAGGTTGTTGACGGTTGGACGTCAGACTAAGGCTGCTGACCAGAGCTAGAGATGAGCGGCCGAATACGGACATGGCATGACAACAGACTGAACGGGAGAGATATCTCGACGGTTTTGCGTGGACCGCTGGCCGGACTAGAGCAAATACTGAATGCGACGACTGGTCAACACTACTTGCCGGAGAAGACAATTGAATTTTTTTAGCGCTGACAATTTTTCTTGGTCGGATTTTGCGCATGAAGAAGAATGAGACATGCATGAATTATTGATCGATTTTTGTTTTTGGATGTGAATTGCGCATGTGTGAAAATGTCAATAGAATACAAAACCGGGCTGGTTGCACATGCTGTTAGCAGCTGGTCTGAGTGGGCTAGGTTGTGGCAGGTCGGACGAGAATTTTCGGCTCGAAGGGTGGTGCTCGGCAATGGTCGGATTGCAGGTTGCCAGCGAAAATGATGGTTGCAGATGACGTTCGACATGGATGACTGGTCGCGGTTGCGCAAGCAAGAGAAGGATTGTCGGAGGAAGGGGCTGCTGACTGGAATTCTGGACGGACCAAGGTCGATCGGACGGTGCTTCGTAGAAGGAGAACGCTGGACTAATTGTTGTGTGGGGTTAATGGACATCCAGATAAATTTTAGGTGGACGAACGGTTGGGAAATTTCTCTGGTTGCACATTCTTTGGCCAGACTGTTTTTCCATACGAGATTGTTTAGTTACGAGCGAGATTTCTAACAAAGTAGCTGCATTTTTTTTTTACGCAATTTTTTTAGGAGAATTTACGCTCGTGTGACGTGTGAAATTTCCTCAATTGATAGGA